TAGTATTTCTTCATGTGACACAAGGTTTAAAATAAAGCAATAAAACCTGAAAAGAGTTACTTTTTCAAATGCGATCTTTAAAAGTACAAGACAGCTTGTGTTTGTATGAAGAAAAATTAGTATAAGGCCACTGTAAGTATCAGAATTAACAAGCATGTAGAACTGTTCCCGTTCTATATAATCCTACAGTGGAAGATTATTTTTGCCTATTGTCTACAAGATTTAGTCATCTATCAATCAAGAATGCCTCTGAACAGTTATAAAACTCTTCATAGTGACTTCATAGAGCCTAAGAGTGTTCTCTAGCAGAATTTAACAGCCCGAATGGTGTGAACAGCATTTTGGGGGGTTAATTTCATTGTCTTGTTTTCTCCTGACACAGTTTGTTTTATATACAAAGCAAATCTTGAGACTTAAATATGTAGGACAAAGTGTGGAAATAAATGAACTTTTATGAGGACAAAATTGTCTACGGTCCTTTGAAATGCAGGGAGGAGTCAGATATAGGTCCAGTAAATGTATCCTTGACATTTATGTACTCAGATATTCTAAGATACTCTGTTGGCAGATGGGATGGAGGCATAACTGAAAAGACCAACTCAGAAGGCTAAGGAGGTTTATTTCCTGAGGGTGAGATAAAATTAAACTTACTCTGATCTCTTGTCTGGCAGTAACATCATAAAGTGATAAAATGTTTAAAGTGCTCTGGGGTAGATAATTTATTGCAGGAAGTGTCCTATCAAAATGACAAAGGCAACACTTTGTACAGAGAAATGATCTGATAAACGTATCAGAAGAGCTCTTTCACATGATCTGTCTTAAAGTGATGACATCTATGAGCTTTATTCTGCAGCTTTGGAAGCTTGTTGTACACCTACATCTGAAACCAGTGTTTCCCTTTTCCTCCAGACAAACCCTTGAAAAATGGTATAAACTGCATGATGGCTGAATAGCAACATTTAACATTAGGCAAGAATCTGTGGCCTCTACCTATAAACTGTGTCAGCAGTCCATTGGCATGTCATGAACTGAAAACTTTTGGTCTAAAGCAACAGACCCTAACTTAGCACAGGAGTAAGTGCAGGTAGCATTCCAGTAATGGGGTACTACTTCTTTTTTTCCTGTCAGCCTGGACACAGGAATATGCTTCACCTGAGCTCCAGAAAATACCAGTGAGCACTGATCAAAAACTAGCACTCAAATTTCTGCCTTTAAAGAATCCTTGCTAGTCCTTACTGTAGCTATGAAAACTTTCAAATGTCAAGAGCACTGGAGCTTCAGGGGACCTTATGCAATTCTAAGTTGTACGCTTGCTTGTGGCAAAAGTGCCCTAACTCAACAGACTTCATTTTTCTGAGAGTTGCTGCAATGGGTTACAAGGTACAGGAAGCTCTCGTGTGATGTGGTTCCCCACCCTCCCAATCCCCTACAGCTGTCTTCTGAACCCCATCTGGGGAGCCCCTAAGTCAACTGTGGCCCTCAATTTTAGGCAGAGGAGGTAAGCCTCAATGGAAAAAAAGATGCTGTGTTCTTCACCTCAGAGAGATGGAGTGCTTTTGTATCTAAGCAACCTTCAAGTGGGCACAGAACAAGCTCAGTTCTCCGTATCTGCACTGTTCAGTGCAGTTTGTATGTCTTACTAATAGAATTTCATTTTACTGGCCTAAGGAGGCTTACTGGATTTCCTCACTAAACTAAAGGGGAGAATGCTGGTATGTTTTATGGAATTAAAAGAGCTGATGTGATACTAAATTCATAGTAGTATCTAGATGCGAATCAACTAGTTCTTAGTTACAAAACATTACAACACAAATGTTAAAGCATGTCTCCTTCACAAAGACTGGGATTATATGACATCCTCTATTTTAACCGTTTTGAAATACTGAATTTGCTGGTTCAAACAACTGTGAGGCTAAATTAATGAAGGAGCTTAACAGGTTGCAGTGTTCTGTGTTAAAAAAAAAACTAAGTCTCAAGTATGCAAGGCACTCATGGTTCTGTGAGGAAGAGAAGGCAAACCCATTATTCCCAGTAATTAGGGCATTGTCTGAAAGTGCAGTACCTTTTCTAGCTCCCAGGAGAGAGATCTGCAGTCATCATTTCCATTAAAGGATTTGAATGCCATTCACCCTTGGCAGCCCATTTAATTCCCACTCACTCCATCTTAGGAGGTAATTTATACACAAGCTATTATGAGTATCAGATTCTCTGATAAAATACCCAGTAGTCTGGCAGCTGGGACATCATGGGGCTTAATTTGTGGTGACTAGGTTAGCACTCAGCAGTGTGAACACCTGAGCAGTGGTTCTGGGCACACACACTAGTCAAATGGACCAGACATGGGCCTTGAGGAACAAGTTGAGCAGAAGTACCTTCTTATGGCTGTAGCATGTTCTTTCTTCCCAGAAGAAAACTGCACCATAGGGGTATCTTTAAGGACAGCTAAGATAAGTCAGTTCTTAAAATTTAACTACATGATAAAATTATTAAACTGCTTTTGTGCATTAGGTCATTTGTAGAAAAGTGGATGTCATCAAAGACTGTGACATAAAAAGTAGGATTTAAAAAAAAACTAGTAAGAGAAACTATAGAGTATCCTTTTAAGAGAACAATGGATGGACCAGGCAAGAGAAAATAAGGAGAGTTAATACGCATTCTGCACCGACTGAAACGTTTTGTTCCAGGGATAAGTCCTTTTTTGCAGTCCTATTTTGCTGCTGGAAAAAGCATGTCATAAAGAACACTTTTTATTGGAACTTAACTTTTGTCCAAGTTTGAAGGGCTGCAGCCTTGTGTTATGCTCTTCACTGGACCTGCTCCCCCATGGCAGGAAGTGGAGGACAGGCTCAGTAGCACCTACAAATATGTGGCACATTCCTGAGATGGGAAGGGACTGTCAGGGTGACAGTCAAGCAGCTAAAGAAACTAACACTGAGACTGCTCAAGTAATGTTCTAGAAGTCTGACAATGCTTTATCTTGTGACACGAATACAAAGAAATCCAGGGTAACTGGCATACAGATGATCATTAATCACCCTTGTGTTACAGCTACTCACTTTGTTGGCAGAACATGAAAGCTCAGAACATTGCAAAACTTCAAGCTTGATTATCCCAGAAGTTTGTAGATGTCATTTTCTGTTACAGGCAGGTCTTTGGTGACTCAGATAATCAGCCTTGACAATACCTATAAATTTTCAGAATAATCAAGCTGAAAGTTATTTCACTACTTATTTTTTTAAAAAATACTACAGTAGAAACCAATTTATCATTAATTTTTAGTCTCTCCTTTTATTTACCCTGTGGGTAAGATTTCACCTGTTGATGTTCCCCTGTTGCCAAAAATACTGGAAACACCAGCAGAGCTAACTTAGGTCTTCTGCTCCCACTGTCTAGTATTTGTATACACTATGTTAATAGTTCTCCACTGCTGCTTTCCACTTCAAGCTCAAATCCTTACACACACAGCATTTGCTTGAATTAGACTGTGTGTTTTTCTACAATTAGTTGCAAAGCACATGCCTGTCAACAGCTGTAAATCCAAAACTAGGCTTCTGATGGAAAAGTCTACGAACACGAGCCTCGGTTTTGCAAGTTCCCACCATGCCCAGCACACGCTCCCCATCCAGACTTGGGTCATCCCACCAGGCCTGCTAGTTTATTTGCCAAGGGTCACATGCTTGCATGACAGAAAATGAGGCAGTTCTTCCTATCATTTTCTATTTTTGATGCTTCCTCTTATGCTCTTGGCTCTTCAAATAATTCTATCTGCACACAATGTAATTGTTGAGTTTAAAACTACAACATCAAGTTAAAAACAGTCCAGCCAGAGGTATCTGTCTTACACAAAAGTAAAGAAGCAAGGGGATTCAGTTTCATCCAGCAAGCCCCAAAATTACAGGCTACGAACAAGTAATTAGGGCACAGAGCATAAGAGGAAAACGAAAGATGAACTGAACATGCACGCTGAGGGAAGGACATGAGCACAGGCTACAGCAACTGATGGCCAGCACTGCTGTCTGCCACTAAACATGCAAAAAAACCCCACTAAACCAAAAGCAAACAACAAAAATGAAAAGCTATTGATAAATATCTGCATTAATAGACTTGTGTTTATAAACATTGAAAAGTTTTTATTTTATAGATAAATAGCATGGTGATTTTAAAAGTTGAGAAACAACACAACTTAAAAGCTCTGACTTCCCAAGATACTAACTACTTGTAAGAGTTTATAATTTACTCTTACACCAGCACACTAAGATGGCAGCTTCCTCCTTTTCATATTGCACTTAGAACTCAAACCTTCTTGCAAAGTCTACTTGTTTTCAGGTCCTAGCACCAATGCTGACAATTGAAACCAATGTCTCAAAATATCTCCAAGTACAAACAGAAAATTTAAGGTGTTGGAACTGCCATGCTTAAACACAGCAACACTGAAAATAGTGTTCTCTTTCGAAAGCAACAGAAAGACGACACTCCAGGACTCTCTTAAAGCAGTCAGAAATGGCGTTTGTGATTAGGTATGGACAATCACATACAGTTGGAAGTTATAGTCAAGGAGTTTAGTTCATAATTGTTTTGAGCCTACTGCTTCTGAGAAGTGTATTTTGCACTGTTTTCATATTTGTTACTTCCATCATGGCTGAAAATTTGAGAATAAAAAAATACTTATTCTCAGAAAAAACAAAGACAGAAAGAAAGAAGAGATTCAGTCTTACTCAAAACATGCTATTCCAAATAGCATTGAAAAACAGAGGTTGAAACTATGGCAATCTCAGTGTAATTTCAGTATGACTGAAGAAATCTACATTCATTACACGAATAAGAAGGTATCTTACTTCTTTGAATTTCTGGAAGAAACATGATTCATATCTGTCTTACATCTTGTTTGTAGCATCCCCCAACCAGTTAAGCTTTCCCAAATTCAAAGTTTTTCCTATTATCAGTTCTCCTGTAAACATGGTTTTGCATTATGTCTGGAGTGAAATAACAATGGTCATAAATTTCAGTTACTTGTAATTTTATCAAGCAAGATGATAGGAGAAGGGAACACAGAAGAATTTTTGTGCAGACTACAGGCCAATGCCAGCATAGGTTGCTTTTGATGTCATAGGAACAGTTTAAAGCACCAAGCTCCAGGCCTATGCAACTCCTCACTGCCTGCCTAATACAGTGTGGGACTGTTGTGTGACTGAAAACAAGTAGGCTACCACAGGAAAAAATGTACTTTTTCCCTTTAAAGGTTTGCACAAACTTTATTCTTTGCTTCCTGATTTTGTATCTAAATTTATTTTTCAAAAATTCATTAAAAACAGCACTGATGTAGATAATTAAAAAAAAAAAAGCAAAGAATTGTGTTAAGTGCAGCTTTTATAATCACATTCTTAATTTCTTTTTTCCTTTTACATTTACCACAAAAGAAGTATCTCATTGATTTCACTCCAAGGGAAAGCATAGGAAATCACTTTTTTGTACAGAGGAATAAAGTTGTGGACCACAAACGCATTTCCCCACAGGACATTTCAGATGGAGAGTTGCAATTTTGCATCATTAAGGCAAAATGAGGAATACTTCCATCACATGTCACACAGGGCTCTCCACTCTGGCCACTTGATAGATCCATAATTAAAAACCTTTGTAGTTACTCGTTTGTTTTAAATAGAAAACAGTTACTCTCTTCATTGCTTATCAGTTTGAAAGAAAAGGCTCCTTCTGGCCTTCACTCAGAACTTCAGTCTTGTGATTAGATCAAGCATATGCAATTGCTTCAAATCAGCAACAGACACTAGAAGTTGAGCTAAGTGTCAATCAGTTGTAATCTACTGATCTGATTAGAGGCCTTCACAAATGTTTGGTGACGATTGCAAATAACAGCCAAGCAGATAGGAATGATGCAATACCCAACAGTTTTGGGGTCCGCTCTTGTACAGGAGTAGAGGAACAAGAACATCTGTAAATATGGTATTAAAAATATTATCGTCCACAGCCAAAATGGCAAGGATAGCAGTCGTACTTTTAAGGAGTGTGTCCATGTGGTTCCTTCCTGTGGTTCCTTGGGGTGTTGCTGAATGTGCTCCAGTGCTAGCTTGTTGTAAGTCTCATTGATTTCAAAGACGTAATAAAAAGCCGCAGCACTTGCTAACAAGTACAGCCCCACACCAATCCAGCCCATCCTCTGGCGGAAGTTCATCATTCTCCATGCTCTGCACCTGAAACAAAAGGTGACATAAATGTTCAGTACAGCTTGCAAAAAGAGGAGACAGGTGAACCTTGGTTTTCACAAATTAATTTTCTGTAACTTTTCATTACACATTAGTTAAAACAGCATGCACATCAATTTCTGAAGACCTGATCATAGAAAATCATTACTCTACCAGCAACAGGTTAATGGCAACAATATAAGAAGCTCTACTGATGCCTCTGGATAGTTTAGGGTCTGCTGGCTATCAGGATATACCTGGCTAAATTCAGGTACTCGGGGAACCAAACAGAAGCCATCAATTGGGCAAGTTCCTTACCCCATCTGCCCTCAATGTCTCTAGACATACAGTGGGGATAATATAAGATTTTCTATAAATACGTAAAGTTTTGAAAGTTCTTTGATGCCTGCAAGACAAACATGCTGCTAAACAGCTAGTAATGGTACCATGACTGTTTGCCTGTGCTGCAGCAACATCCAGTTGTATTAAGCTGTAGCTGAGTGCCCATTAATGAACCACAGAAAGGGATGTTTTCAATTTGAATGTGAGGTTCAAGGGTTAGGCTGTACTAAAGGTATGTACTTGCACACAGGAAGGTGCTATAGCCATGTTACTTGCTCCTAACTACATTCCCACTGTCCCTGTGCAGACATTTGCCACAGGCCTTCCAGAGGAACTTGAGCTGCACACCTGCGCTGCTCAATGCCTCCGCACAAAACAAACCAGACACTCACCATCAGGCACCCTTCAGAAAAAACACAAATTATTGGAGCCACACAGACACTACTGGGCTCAGTTTGAGCTGCTTCAAATCTCCAGCTGGCTGAATGGGTCTGGGTGACTGGAAACACTCTTCAAAACAGTTACAAACACTCCAGCTGGAGTACCTCCACAGAAATCATCACTTCTTTCCCTCCAAACAGCCCTTGCACAGGGCAGGGCTTCTGCTTCTCTGTACCTGACTAGGGCTCTCTGAAAAAAAATGCTTTTTCAGAAGGGTAAAATCCTTCTATGTAGTGCTGTTTTAAGAAAATATACCAGGCCTTTAAAACAAACACCAGACACAAGTGCTTACTGAAAAATGAATTATGCATAGAAAACAGTACGATTCATGGAAGCATTAGAGAATTTACCATAAATGATACAAAATCATTACACCATTCTAAATCACCCTAAGTCAGACTAATCTGCCAGTTTGGTTGGTTATCCTGAAAAATTTACTTCCTGATTTTACCTAGCTGAGGGACATCCTCAACCCTGACATGACAGAATCTGATCAAGGCAGCTGTGGGGAAATTGTTCTGGCCCTCAGACTGCTGCATACACGGTGGCTAAAAAAGGCAGGCATATAGGGACGCTGAAAAGGAACAGTAAATACCTGAAAAGGAAGAGTAAACACTTGAGAACGCTATTGCAGTCTTAAGATGCATCTATATAACTCAGCTGCTCGTTTCCCTTCATTACCCCCACGTTTAGTAGGAATACTGAAAAATTCGTGAGAGTAGCTGTTAATCCACAGGGTAAAAACCTGCACCCCAGGTCTGCGTTTACCCGCTAAATAAGCCTCTGGCTGTTTTTTCCAGCAGTTCGGCATATCCGAGCTGGCTCACGAGTTGTCGCCTTCGAGGAAAACAAACCGTCACAAGGGATGTACATACTGAAAGCACAAACACTATCAAAACAGCAGTAGATTTAAGAAGGTAAACACCACCGCGTTTCAATCCTGCCCTTGAGCACTAGCCAGAAAAGAAGCCCTAGCTCCCGGTTATACTGAAAGAGGCTGAGGCAACAGTTTATTCATTGTTATTTCCCATTTTCAGACCCAACTCCAGCTTGCAGCTTGTGGGCACATCCGCGATGGTTCTCAGACCCCTTCACCCAGTGGGGCTCTCCTCCGGCGACCGCCCGCGCACACCTCCCGCCGGACCCGCGCCCCGGGCGAGACGCTCTTCATCGCCACGGGTCCTTCTCGGCGCCGGCAGCTCCTTACCTTCCTCCGGCGGAGAAGGAGGGAGCGGGAGGGCGGCGGCGGGCGGCCCGCTCCCCTTAGCCCGCGCCGCGGCGCCGGGAGGCGGCGAGTCCCGCGGGCCCGCCC